CATTCTAGCATGCTCTGGAAAAAAATTGTACTGGATATTCAAGAAATTCCAAGAACTTTCTTTCCAATCAGATATATTTACACCTTCCTGTACTATGAAAGCAACAGTTAAGTTCAGGATATACTGAATCGGATCGTGCTTACTTGTCCGAGAATACCACGTGCTGAAGTGTTATTGAGGTAAGTAAAACTCACAGAAGTTCATTATTCCAGTTACTATTAGAATTAAAGACAACTTTTTTTTCATGCATATCGCGTAGAATCACGAGCAAAAAACTCCTGTCCAGAAGGAGAGCGCTACGATTTACTTCAGTACCAAAAGACATCGAGGTATACCTGGCTCAATAAAAAAGTCAGAATCAGAATCCAAGGAGTTTGAAGGAAACAAATAGGATGAACGTCATCACCATACTGTAGAATTACTAAGGAATGAAACTACAGTGATAAGACGCATATATTCACTACAGATTGTACATTATTTCAGACATTTGGCACGAATAAAATCATGTCATCCAATAATATCTATCACTTCATGAGAAGTGATAGATATTATTGGAGATTGACTGTCAAATGATCATGGAAAGTAGTATGGGGATCACACACTTACATAAACGCCATCCGACATAGGTCATAGGTATTATGAAAGTGGTGCTGAGATACATCAAATGAAGACCTCAACGGAATCCAACACTCCAGGTTACTTATTGATGATTCCTTGGAATAGTGAATCAGAAGCCTGGGTTGAAGTAGAGTTTCTTGAAGTTTCCTCTTACCCAGTACTCTGGACTTTGCTTCTCACCCTTAACCCCTTCATACTTGGCCAGCCGGTTATGAACCTGAAATGAACAATTTCCTTATGTTTAATTGGAAGACACTCGAGATTCTTAAATATAAATATTCGGATTATGAGAAATAGAGACTGACTGCCAAGGCATCATTATGATCATGTCCAGCTTCCCCCCTCCCCTACCAGAACCACCATGTCTCTCCATACAGTAACCAATCAGGAGATGCCTGGCACGGTAGAAGATGACAGAGCAAGGGACTCTGTTCAGTTAGCGGGCATTCAGGATGGAAAAATCAAGTTTAGTAAGATGAAATCATTTTCCTTCAATCCTTTTCTCTAAGTGCGTTCTGCTTTAAATTTGAATGCCTCTGGGACATCTCCTGATCATTCCTCTCTATCCCATTACTAGAGATATAGGATCGCGCATTAATATTGAATTATATGCATCAGGCATTCTTGCAAAAAAGTCACCGAGAGAGAAATTGCAATGAGGGTGTGAATGTTTTAAAACTTTACCAGAAATATTTCAATGAGATCCATTCTTCCTCATCTCCATATTTTCTGGACATGCATGGTTGCATCAGATATAAAGATCAGAGTCACCATGTTTTAGTTTAATTTCCAGAGGTTCAGCTATTTAATAGTTTCTTGCAGAACTGAGAAACTAGTTCATCTAGTTATTATAATTGCGGAAGTGATGGTGATGTAATTGTGTAGCATGTTGCTCGTAGAAGGAATTTCTCCATAAAAAGATTTATTTATAATGGATTCCATCATCACGCATTCTTTATGATGCAGGGTTATCAGTTTGAATGAGACAGCAACTCACTTCATCCATCATACTCCGGAGGTCCAGGCAATGAGCATTGTCCATGAAGACCTGGCAGATGGATTCAATGAACCACGATCCACGACTCTTATTCCTGTAGCTCACATAATCTGCAATTGATTTATAATAAAGATGTTAGTCACGAAAATATGTATATGTCCTAGGGTTTTGTGGAATTCAGGGGGATTTCAAATCTCCCTAGGGAGAGACAGGATTCCACTAAACCCGCGGGTTTAGCGGAATCCTGTCGTAAACCTCCATTATGTCACCTCGCCCAAGGGAAATTCCAAATCACCTGGATTAGCTGCCTATTCTTCCATCATTTTGTTTACCCCTAGGAAGAAAGAGAATTATCCAGACACCCGGGGGAGATGGAAGTTCATTTCATTCTGCTAAAACCCGCGGGTTAAGGGGAATCCCATTATATTTGGTAATAAATTATGGCAAATTTAATGAGAGTCTGTTAGAAAATGCATTGGATCCAATATTAGCTCGTGATGCACGCTCCAATGGAGAAAGAGGTTGAATGGAAAGGTCAATGAAGGTTGAGAATGTTGGAAGGCATAGCCTAACGATAGTGAATGAAGCAAATCAGGAGTAAGTAAGGAGTTGAAATTAAATTGCACAATTTACTTTTGATGAACCACCAGGTTTGGTTCGAACTACTGATGCATGCTTGGACACTCACGTGGAATGGCTGCATTTGCCACGAAAATGTCAGCTTGAACCAGGGGCGAAGTGCATCTTGCATTGTATGAATCTGTCTCCGTGCTACTCTCGGATGGCGAACGATAATGTTCGCTCCCCCTAAATGAAAGGGAAAAGTTACCTTCAACAGTGGGCAAATATATCAATGTGAGCGCGTTTAAAATTCTCAGAGTAAGAATTTTGGATATTTAAATGTTCTCTAGGAACTCATTCGCCGCAACGCGTAGACCTGGCAAGGTTTGCACTGGCAGGTTTTTCAAATTCGATCAATGTTTTTCAATGCTTTCAATGTTTTGAGGGCACAACTAGGTAATTAGAGAACGATTTGGTGGATATTCCGCAGAGCATTGAGGTGAGGGCTTTCTCCTGAAATGAACAACAAGTAGTACTTTCAGGGGAAGATCGTTCCTGTACTGTCTTAGGCCTTCTGTCCATCCATGGGACAGACGTATGCACAGGAATGGAGGTTATACTAATACTGCAGATATAAATGTCTCCACCATGGGAATACCTCCACTGGGTAATGAACTTAGAGCAAATATCAGCGCTAATATCGACCCAAAAGTGGCCACGGAAGTAATCCCAATAATGGTCAAAGATGTGTGCCAATATTCAGCTAAGCTTTACAGTATATTGCTTGGCGGCCGATGTAGATCCAATACAAGGGTGCTATAGGGGTAGGGAACAAAAAATATTCGCACTGAATTCCCAAGAAAACGATAGGAGGGTGGAGGTTATGAAGGAAGAAATACATGAGTCTGTAGAGGAATTCTATTTATAATGGCATAAGTTGAGAGACGTGGAGCCGCTGAATTCTTTTCTTCATGAGAAATACCAACCATGTCTTCCGCCCGGAAAATTATTTATTTGAGATTGTACTCTCAATTCAGATAAAATACCTGCAAGCTTGGAAGAAGAAAAGTTTCGGCTTGCCACGAAGTGACAGGGTTTCCTCGTTGCTGAAGTTCTGGATGACCCATTCCACTGGTAGACGCTTATGATCCTTCGAGTAAATCACATACGTCCTGTCTGACTGATCTCCGTGGCTCATCACAACAACTGCGCAGCAGTCGCTGTTTTCATGACAGCGTGCAAAGTTGTCTTTTTCATGTGCAAAGCTCTTGATCATCTTCTTCATGTCCTGAAATGAGTTCATACGCGGGAAGTGATTGAATTTCAAAGGGTCCATTCGAGTGCATTTACTACTCTTGCCCTAACAGATTTTTGCTATGAGATGGAATTTACCAGTCATGGCTAATTTTTACTAGTTCATATCGTTAAACACGGACGAGGTTGCTTCCTTTTCAAAACTTCCACCAGGATCCACCGCGTCTGAGCGGCAGGTGATAGAAGACAGATTTGGATTCTGGAGGATATTGCACTTGGTGAAAAATCACATGACATTCCCTTGGATGCACTCAGAACCAGGTGGATATCTTCTCCTGGGTGGCTGAAATCGGGTGAATATCCCTCCAGCCAGTGGATTCCTGCCCGGAGGGGGTATCCACTTGGTTCCAGCTCCACATGGGAGGTAGACGTTTTCTTTGGGACAAGAGCGGAACTTCGATTTTATTCAATGAGGGCAGTATGAACTCCCTCAGCTGTCAGTTGGACACAATACAAGGCAAAAAGTCCGAACCAGGTTATATGAGGGCCACTCAATAAGTTATCTACCTGAATATGAAAGGGATGAGCAACAGGCCTGTGCCTGCTGTGACATGTCTCGACAGGTCTCGTGAGTGTCCCACCACTATACCAGCTCAGTGGCTCAAGTCCGTTCAAAGTGGTAGCGCATTAGATTTCTTTTCCTGAGTCTGTGTCATGGATTTGACGAAAGTCGAACATCGTTCAGTGATGAAATTCCTCACCAAAGAAGGGAAAGCACCTAAGGAGATTCATGAACGTATGTCTAACGTTTATGGTGTGTCTTCGCCTTCTTATTACCGAGTTAAATTTTGGAGCAAGCAGTTTAAGTGGGGAAGAGAGTCNCGCAGAGGAAAGTTGTCAAGGGGGGTCCTTTTTCTCCATGACGACGCGCCCGTTCACAAATCATTGAAAGTTCTGGCAGCAGTGAGGGAGTGTGGCTTTCAGGAGCTCAACCATCCTCCCTACAGCCCGGATCTGGCTCCTAGTGACTATTTTCTGTTCAGACACTGAAAAAAATTTTGCGGGGAAAAATATTTTCATGCAATGAAGAGCTGAAAGTTGCCGTTTCTGATTGGCTTGATGGACAAGAAGTTGACTTCTATTCCCAGGAAATAAAATCCTTGGAATCAAAGTGGAATCAGTGTGTTGAGTTAAAAGGTGACTACATTGAAAAATAAAGTGTTATATTTCCCCTCGGATGTTTTTTTCTTATTCAGGTAGATAACTTATTGAGTCATCCTCGTAACTATGTGGTCCTGAACAGTAGAAACTCTCAAGAAATTCTGTGATATCTGCTTGTGGGAAAAATATAAAGGATTAATCATAGGAACGATTGACCAGAGAGGAAGGGAAATATATATTTTCCAGTGCATATTACCGGTATTTGACTTCTGGGATTGGTGGATCCAAACTCCAATAATCGATATAAGTCTCAAATTCCTAAAATGCCTTCTTTTCCCGGTGTTGGCACAGACAGTCTCTCGAACAAGGTCGGGCGGGAAAATTTTCGAAACAATGCCAACTTCAATGATATTCAAATGGAAAAGGGTGACTCACCGGGCGCGTTCGAAAATAGGGGACGATGAGGGAGACGCGTTCTACAGTACAGAACATGTTGGGGTAGGGACAGCTCTTAACGTCTATGATGAAGATGCCAGTGGCATCTGTGAGCTAATCTCTAAATCAACTTCCGATCCTCTCGGTTAATCTATGCGAACTCCGATCTTTCTTTGCATCCTTCTCCCACGGAGAAAAATTGAGGGAGAGATGCAGTTTCTTTTAGGTCATTTAATGGCTGAGGCAAGCTTGGAACGGCCTCTCTGCCCTGCAGCAAATGCGGAAAGTCGCTAATGTCTTCATTTGCCTTTACAATGATTAAGTAATGTAAGGTCAATGATTGAATTATATGCTCAGATTCTCGTCGATTGAAAGAGGCACGAGATTTTTGCCTGAATGAAAGTGAGAGTAATGTAATGGAAACTCTGTTTAAAAAGTATCCGCTAATATTAGACTTTTTAAAAAGTAAGGATATGAAAAATATGAAAATTGAAGATTGGCATTGAACATTCCTCGTTCATACGAAATTTGATTGATCTATTTATAAATCTATCAATTTAAAAACACCTGTTGACAAGAAAGACTCCATATTGAAATTGGAATAGCACTCACATTCAAATTAAGATTCCCCACCGAATGGACCACAAACTGGAGGTTTTCGAACAGATTCTTCAAGTTGGTAGCGTCCACCTCGGCACCTCTTCTGTTTTTCAACTCCCTCGGGTCCAGAAATGTAACATTGTTAATGATGAGAACATGGCCCCTTGGTTTCGACACCATTTTGTACGACTCCTGTGGGATGAGTAATCGAAATAGCTGCAAATGAAGAATTTATTGACGGAATTTTCAGGTGAAATGACTTTTTCCGACATTTTACCTGAAATATGTTCCATGAGGTACAACAGGGTTTTCAAGCAGTATAATTATTTGCATTTTCCCTGACATTTCATGCAATGTGTTAATGTGATTGAAGTTTATGCGAATTCTTTGTCTGATATATGGAAAAGTTTGCCCAAAACGTGGGTTTTGGACAACAAAACCTAATTTCAGAAAAGGCTGGTGATTTTCTATTCATGGGACCATCTAATACCTGTATATATAGACGATCGTGACTGACTGACTGACTGACGCTAATTCTAACCATGTTCCAGAAAGGTTAAAAATCTGAAACTTGGTACACATATACCTCTTTGGGTGCAGAGTTCAGAAAAAATCCGACGTTGGAGGTATATGTACACATTTTGAGGGGAGAAGTTTTTTTTTAATTTATAGAGTGACGGATGAGGATGCCATCGAGAAGCGGATCTAGATGTCATGGGTCCGTGGTGTATTGGTAGCACATCTGACTTATAATCGGGAAGCCAAAGTTCAATTCTCACCCATTCCATGGCATTTTTTTGGTTTCTCCTTCCTTCCTGGTGATTGAATGAAACGGAGAGACATGGAAAGCTGAAATGTGGCATGGACTTGCCTACCGACACGATGAGTTCAGAGAAAATGCCAAATTTTATATCCATGCCCTGGGGGTGATTCCATTTCAAATCAGGCAGGGCCTGTCAGGTCATAGTCTTGGATTTTTTTCAAAAAAGTATATGTGATCCCCCCTTTCAAATGATGGAAAATGGTATCTTATTTTCCTCTATATCTGCAATAGTTTCGGAGAAAAAAATTCACAAGTGCAGGGCTCTAAAAAGGGCGACTTGTGAAATTCCTGTTTTCTCCCACTTTCAATTTGTTGTATCTCCTAAAGTAATAGGCATAGAATCCTGAAAATTTTTTCTCGCATACTTGAATGTACGTCTTGTGGAAGCATTTGAGAAAAATCTAAGTTATAATTTTATAAATACGTAATTTTGAATTTTAAAAAGTGACGAAACTGCTGAATTTGCTGGTTTTTGCTGAATTTTTTTGCCAGCTAAATTTGTATCCCATCTTGAATCAAGTATATTTTCATGAACTACATACATTTGGGCATCTCTTGTTTTCATTTGGCATTTATAT